CTTTAAAAAAATTAAATAAATCAGGTGATGGTGCATGGCTTCATTGGAAATGGGTTTAGTCTCCGAGTTACTCACGCTGCTAGTAGCATCAAGCCGCGCAACTGGTTGGCACATGGATACCACTCCACTGCACTGCATGGTACATGTACAGGACTCAAATCACAGGGGAAGAAAGTTGCTTGGAAAGCCCATGGCAAAACCATGCAAGGCTCGCAAGGCTCCTGAGCACCCCACGTTCTTCAGCTCAGGGTCGGCGTCGTCGCGTTTGCTTGGAATGGCAATGCAGCAAACAATCGATGCAGCAGAGCACCACCCAGCAGCAACCTCACTGTCGTGCTGAGCGATTGACAAAATGCTCAACAATAATCATTTCCACACGGATAAACACAGCCAGGTTTAGACCCCACTCTCTAGTTACTCACGCTCCTGCTAGTAGCATCGGCAGTGGACTACCGAGAATTAAGGTCTTACAATCATTATTAAGCAAGCATAATAACGCACTGAGTCGTGCCGGCCGATGGCCACGGACGAGGTCACGCCGGCCAACCAGGCCGATGCATGCAACGGAGGCCGGCGGCCACCGCCCTCGCCTCAGACCAGGAAGCTGCCGTCGCGCCTCCTCACTTCCACCTTGAGTAGGTGGTCCTCGCCGCCGCCGCCGGCGCTGCCTTGGCGGAGCGCTCGGAAGAAGCAGGTGTCGCCCTCGCCGAGGGCGTTGTCGACGCAGAACTGGTGCCATCCGTACCTGAAAGACGCCCGCGGCCTGCCACCCGTCTTGGGGTTGTGCTTGAGGTGCACGAGCCACGACTTGCCGCGCATCCGCAGCTCCACCTTGCTCCTCTCCGCGTACCCGTGCGCGAGCTGGAAATCCACCGGCACGTTCTGCACACGGCCGGCGAGCAGCGGATGGAACCAGTGACCAGATAGCACCTCATGGATACATGCATCTGAACACGCTTGACTAGTCATGCTCGAGCATGAAGAACGCACTCACCAGGTACTGTTCCTGCTTCATGCCCAGGTTGCATTTCCTCAGCATGGCGCTGAACTGCCCCGTCGGCCCGTCCTCGACGTCCATCTCCGCCAGGCTCCAGTTGTTGCCACCACTGCCGCCGTCGCTGGCGTTGCTGCTCCCACTGTCACCGTCGCTGCTGCTCCCACTGCCTGGCCAAATGCAAAAACCACCTTCTTTAATTCCTACAAGTTACAACTTACAACCACCCAACTGAAACGGAGAGCAAGAAGAGGCGCGTACTGGTGTCACCGTCGTGCTGGTAGTGCCTGCGGCACATGCTCACGTCGAACACCTTCACGGTGAGCACGGCGTCGCCGTCGAAGCTGAAGACGAGGAAGTAGCCGAGCCGCAGGTCGTGCGCGCGGGCGAACTGCTCCCAGCCGCGCCCTAGGTACATGTGGCCGTCGGCGTCCAGCACCACCTTCACGTCCCAGAAGCGACGCCCATGGCCGGCCTCCCGTAGCTTCACTTCCTGGGGCTTGCCGCCGTCTAGCAGCACCCTGGTAAACTTGTCAGGCAGCCTCTGCAGCGAGGGTCAAGCAGTGATTGAGCCGATAAAACACTAGGCAGCACAGCAGAGCGATAAAGAGAGATCATGTATATACCAGCCTGCTCGAGGAGTTGTCAAGTATGATCTGGAAGAACTCGAAACCTTCCATCTCACCTGTCTCTGCACGCATGAACAGATAGCTTAGATGCAAGGATTCGAATCGAAATCGCAAGAGATATCTAGGACACGAGCAACACAACAGGCTGAGAATTGGGGAAGAACAGAGGGATTGCAGCCAAGAACAAAAACAGAGGATTTGCCTGGTCGAAGCGGCGTGGCAGAGAGCAGCCGGCGGTGGCGACCTCCCGGCCCCCTCTCGGCAGCGGCTGGCTGCGAGGGCGGAGAGACTGGTGCTTGCGAAGAAGGAAGAGCAAGAGGCAGAGGTAGGAAGAGGAAGAAGAAAGAACCAACTATGCCATGAATTCCATGCCACGTAGCAAAACCCTCTTCTTCCTCCTTCCTCCTCCTTCCTCTGCCTCTCCTCTCGAATGTGCAGCGGTGATATATACAACGCCTCGCTTCTCTGGATTCCTCCTCCGGGATAGACTTCTTGACCCCTCCACCGAGAAATGGAGATGTGAGAAAGGGCCGGACGGCAATGGGCTCGGGCAGAGAAAGGGACAGGCGGCAATAAATCATTGCACCGATCTGGCCTCTTTTCACGTAAATGGGCAGCATCCATTTTTCTCCCATTCTTGGCTCAACGATGGCGGTGGGGATGCCAGTGTAATGGCAGTGGCAGCGTGCCTACTGTGCATATATTGATAGTGATAGGATATTATTTTACAATCTTGCTAAATCTTATGTCTCTTTTTTTTACAGGGAACTAAATCTTAAGTCTCAGTCGATGCTACGCTCGTAAAATCTTACATTGAATTTTAACCCCCTTTATGGTCAAAGTGTCAAGCCATTGTGGTGATGATCAACAGCTGCTTATACCATAATTTGTGTGTGTGCGCGCGCGCGCGCGTGCGTGATCTTCTCCCTATGCACAGAAAAATGATCTGCTCCGTCCCGTTTTTTCTCTCGATCGGTGGATACTGCGTCCTGTCTTTTTTAGCACTGCAGCATGCACTTGAATCTGTTCTCTGCTCCTGAATTTCGAGCAAATGACGGTGTAGTGCATTATTTTTGTTTTAGGGGAAGGTGTAGTATATTCATCCCATGCATTGCTGGGAAAGCGCCATGGCTCATGTTTCGAGAGGAGCATTGATGACTTATCACTTGCAAGTGCTACTGTCCTAGTGGCGGTGTGCCAGCCCTGCTCATTTTCACTGCTTGGGATAGAAAATGGCATGCATCATTTTTCCTTTTTCAAACAAAATGGCAAGCATCATAATTGCACAACAGAGGAATCAGCAAATTAGCAGCTCCATGCCACGGGCCAAAGCTTGATAAGTTGCACGGCGACCCTCCAATAATTCAGCCGACGCTTGCCCTTGTAGGTG